TGCCTACCAGCACCTCTAAAGTTCCCGATTAACATGTTATTACATGTTTTAATAATATTAATTATACATTAAATGGATTATGTGGATTTCTTTCTTATTTAATAGAGCCAGGTGAGCCCCCCCCCCCCCCCCCCGTTTCCAGTCTTTATGACAGCAATGAGCATTGCGTCTGCTCAGCAAGAAAAGTGAATACGTTTATTTCCCAAAATGTGAAGCTATTCATTTAAACACCCAGCCTATTTAGTCTCTTTTGTACTCTTTAATTTTCTGGAAAATGGTCTTTTGTGGCTTCCTCTGACTCAAATGCATTTCTAAATTGTTTAATTTAAAACAACAGTGATAATTAGTTTGCAGTTACATGTACAGACAATCTTAGCCACTTGAAGAAAATTCTTAAAATGTGTTTTTAACTACATTATGGAGTGGTTAGTGGTACCCCAGTGGTAAAATAACATTCCTGCATCCTCTGATTGGTGTTGAACTGCAACCTCCTGAACAAAGTTAGTCAGTTATGTACCGTATAATCTGCTGCAAACTCAGAACAGCTTCTGACCAGAATGAGGGGTCATATGTATCAGCGGAAATATCTAAGCCTGCAAATTTGCTCCTGATCACATGAAGATCAGGAGACGCTGTGCAGCTTCCTGATAAGAAAGGAACTGTATGTATGTCAGCTGTCGGTCAGAAAATGTACCTCAAAGAGCCGTAGGCCCCTGGCTAAAGCCCCGACCTCCTCTTTCAGGGAGAAGATGCAGGAGATCACTTCTGACTTCTTGTCGGTCTCCTCCTCCAGATACATGGATCCCCTTCTCCTCTGCAGAGAGACACATTTCAGGAAACAACAGGGCTTAAAGGTGGAGTTGTGCACAAATTACGGGTTCTCTTATGTGCATTTTTTTACAGAAGTAGACTCTCAGGGGAGCAGCTAATACTACAGTCAATGCAGAGACGGCATAATAAATCACTTTTATAGTTTATCTTGATCTCCTTGTGATAAAACACATGTTTAAACCCGTAAATCTAGCGGCTGAATGGGCTGCAAAGCTTTCAAAACACCACAGTTATGAGAAACAAGATTTTCTAATCACTTTGTCACTGTTTGATCTGGGTTTGTGTGTCTGCGTTTGAGCACAGCCACATGTACGAGCCATGAAATCCAGCTGAAAGCTATGACATTCCACACTTAAGGATCTTAAAGCTCCGAGCTTTCACACCTTTAACCTATTGTCAAGGACCTTTGCCACAGTAGTGACCACATGCTCTGCACATTAGAGGATTTTTTTTAACAAGGGAGGGAAAAAGAACATGAACTCATCGAAAATGTCCTCTGCAGGTGTGTCACAGCAGAGCAGAATATATTACAGATGTAGAAATTCCTGCACAGTCCAGATTGCTATTTATTAACTTCAAGAGCAGTGCACAGATTGTTTTAATATGTAAACAGCAGGCTTTTATTGGTGCTACAACTAACATTGATTTTCACTCTTGATTAATCTGCAGATTATTTGTTTTCACTATAAAATGACAGAAAATAATGAAAAATAAGTTTCTCAGGACCTAAAAGGTGACGTCTTGCTTGTTTTGTTGAATCATTAACCCAAAACCCAAAGACACTTCATTTATCTTTGACATAAGACAAAGAAGAGCAGGAAAACTTTAAATTTTAAAAGCTGGAACAAGGTATTTTTCCATGAAATGTGACTTTGATTAATTGATTAATAGTTGCATAATTATATTCTTTTCATCCAGGCTACTTATTTTTTTTCTAAATAATTTAGAATTTGTCTTTTTGCAGGGTCCATATTTTTGCTATGACAGCACTATTTTTCTGTAACATCAGCTGTTTATCTTTGCCCCTCTATTCAAATCACTGAGGCAACTTTGCACTTCCCTGCTTTGTCTGCTGTACTACCTGGAACATTCCAGCTACCTCTGCTCTGTCGCTGCATTAAAATATGTAGTAGATGGGACATTATATTCAATAACTTGCCTTTTTTGTGCTTAAAGTGAGCATATCATGACAAAAGAGCCCAAATAAGTTGAAGAATTTGTTATTAGAAATACAAAAATAAATTGTTAAAGTTACATATCAGGTGTCAGATTTACCCCTGTGCCTTGGTCCCCTTTCTCTGCATCTTGGTCGTAGCTTCCATTCACTTTCTTGTATGCTGCGTCCATCCTCTCGCTCTTCAGGTGAACCACCGGTGTTTGTGCAGATGCCGGACTGCGGTGCAGTTTGTGTGAGCAGCTCCTGTTTATAAAAACCTCTCCGTTTTCAACGACGGGGGCCACGTGACACCACACCCTCCCCACCCCCTTCTGCATCGGTATGTCACGGGACGGTTGTTGTGAAACAGAATTACAATGGCACATCTGGTTCTTGTTGTCCACCGCTGGGTTGAGGTTGCCCCCGGGTATGATAGGCTGGTTTTCAGATGGAACTTTTTATTTATTTGTTTTTTTTTTTATTACAGCCATCACCATGATGCCTGTTTGTGTTTGTGCAGCCTCACAACAGGTAGAAGTTATGTAGAAAATCGCCGTGGCTGTGTGCGTAAAACTAAAACATATGGGACACGGGATGGTTGTAGGCCTTGCACTTTTTTGTCTATAACTCAAATCTTACATTTTCGGTACAAAGTAGACCCTTATTTGTTTATTAAATGGCAACTTTATCACATCATTTATGTCAAATACAGAAGTTGCTCTGTTACCTGCCCCATAAAACATCCACCCGTCCTAACAAATGATTTGCTCCCATTGACCCGGCGCATGAATAGACGTTTCCCTCTACCTCCACCAGTCCATGTAGGCTATATTACACTTTCAATCATGTCTATAGCAGCACGAGCTTTCCCGTGATTTCTTGATTGTTTGTTGTGTCTGTGAATCCTATGATTATTTTGTAAAAATTGAATGATTAGAGAGGCAGCTTTCAGCCATTTTAATCGTTTCCATGCGCAGTGAGCCTCATGTCACAGCAAATATACCAGCAACAAAACAAAACTTTTAAAACGTTTTTATAAATTTGAAAAACATGACAAAGGAAACTCTGATTTTTAAAATATAAATAATATACATTCTAGTTATTATTATATTATGTGTTATTATGTAATTTACAGATATGTAGGTCAGGATTTATATGAACTTGACTGTGTGTGACCTGGATGTGTACACAGAACATTCATTTACATTGGCCCTGACTGACTCTGTCAGTGTGTCACATTCAAATAATCAATAAAGTTAAGCTCCGTGTAAATGCGCACAGACGCTTCACCATTTCACCCCGCCAAGGATATCAATATCAATCAGATTGTTAATTGTCATGACCTGATTATCAGAGGTGGATTAACCGCGCAAAATTGACACCACACCAGCAAAAAATGGATGTGACGAAGTTTATTTCATTGATAACCAATCAGCCCATGTTCTCTTCCCATGACTTAGGCTGTTTGGTGTTTTATGTTAATGAATATGCAACTTCCTCGCATAAATAAAGTAAAAATAGCAGCCCTAAATAAAAAAAACTGATAGGCTACACTATAGTAACCAATTCCTACTTAAGCCTAACTTGCTTATCTTGGGTCAAGCTGTATTCACAGAGCCTTCACTTGATTTTTTGTTATTTTGTTTTGTTTGTTTGTTGTTATTCTTCTTTTCTTATCTGCTGTGTTACATCTGGAGCTGCTGTAACAAGTGAATTTCTCCAGTGTGGGATCAATAAAGTCTATCTTTATCTTTTATCTTTTTTTTGATAAACAGCCTCATCCAAACAACCAAAGAGCTAACAGAACAATGAGAAGAAAACACTGAATGTGTTTAAAAAGAAGTCTATGTAAGTATGTATGATTATTAAAAAAAAAACATAAAACAGACAAAGAATTATATATATATATATATGTGTGTGTGTGTGTGTATATATGTATAAATATTCACAGGAAAGTCATCCAAATTTCTTGTTTTACGCAAACTTTCTGCAGTTATTGTGTTCTCTGCTTGAGTTCATTGTGCAGTTTATTAGTTGTTTTCTACTGTTATTGAGTATAATATGAAATATGGCACTCATTAAGGGGTCCTCACTTTACTCAAGGGGTCCCTTATAGGGAAAAAAGTTGAGAACCACTGCTGTAGTGGAGTGAGTCCAAAACACAAAATTGGCAGCCTCTTAAGCAGCCGATAAGTACAAAGAATTAAGTCAAAATTCTAACTTTTATTTATTTTCTTCTTCTTTTTTTTTTTTTTACTTAACTCCAATAAATGTTTCATTATTGTTCCTAATCCTCTTCTGTAGATAGATCCTTGAGTTGTAAATCTTGCGTATCTTCATCTGTATATCTGTTATTAATTAATGTATTTTAAAAGACCGTACTGTACTGTACTATGAGCTGAAATGTAAATATCAACATGCTAACTTTTTCATCTGTTCTTATACTGTCTTTATCTGGTTTTTTTCTCTATCCACTTTGCTGCTGTAAGATTGGAATTCCCCATGGTGGGACTATTAAAGGAATATTCTTATCTTATCTTATCTAAAGTACAGTCAGATTAGTGCGAAAGAGAAACTAATGGTTTGTCCCTTCTGGGCTACTCTAGAAACATGGCGGACTGCATTGAAGGCTGCATTGAAGGCAGTGGTCATAGATACAAACGGCTCATTCTAAGGTAACATGAACAATTCTTATATTCAGGTGTTTATATACGTATTTATTTTTTTCAGACAGCTGTTCTTATACTTAAAATATACTTATTTTCTTTCAAAAGGTTTATTCCTTTTGCTCAGGCCATTAACAATAAAAGAATATATTTCCTGTACATTTTATCTCCCTGTATGATGGTGGCGAGAATATAATTCTAGTTACAGACGAATTATTACAATAACAGCTAAAGATAGATGAAGAATAAAGACTGCAGTGTAATCATATCTATACATTTTTGAGTCATTACAGGTGTGCACATCCATTTGTCCTCTGGAAAGTGGATTTACCAGTTTGTGCCACAAGATGTGGCCAAAATCCACTGTGGTCAAGGTGGTTTCAGAGGCTTTCCTCCACAAACAGGCCACAATGTGTGTGTCTGCAAATTCTGAATTTGTTTCTCATCTTTGTCTCAGGTTCCTCTCTTGCCTGTATATCATATACCTTGGCATAGTAAGATCAAAGTCATTATTTTATATTCAAATGTAATTGGTAAAAGAATACACTTTAGCAGTCAAAGGCTGGTATAGGAGAGGGTTTCCTATAAGTCCTATAAGGAACACAAACCAAATTACATTTATTATTTATTCAATTTAATTAATTTAAAGTGAAAGCTAAACATCTTTTTAATTTACTCAATTAGCAGAAGCGTGGATGACAGAGAGAGAGAAACGTGGCCCACTGGATGCAATAAGTGGCTTGAAGAACTCCACCACCTGTCTGTGTTCTCATGAAGTCTCACCAGAAGGTTCCTGCCTGCAATCCGACTCCTGCTTTTACAGGTAACGATGCTTATTCAGCTGGTCTAGGGGACAGAAATGAAAACCATAATTATTTTTTTTTTAAAGGAGATGAATCTAGTAAAGTATGATGAACTAAGGTGGTCGTATGGAGCATGTATACAGGTTTTAAAATCTAATAATAGAGAATGATAACAGCTCTATAAAAGTTTTAGTTGAACACAAAGACTACTGAAATACTGTATGTGATCTATTTTGTGTCATGCAGTAACTCAGAAAGCACCTTCCTAAAACACATCACTTAGGTTGGGAATTACACCGGACAAACAAACAAAACAACACCACAACTGAACTGTAAAACAACAGCCAAGCTAAAACTACTAAGACTTAAATTTTAAATTGCAGCCATATTAATATTGAAGCTGTGTAAAAACTCAGAAAACACATTTCTGGTTCTTTTGTTAAAATCACACCTGACATCGAGGAGATCTACAGGTGCCACATGAGGGCAGTGTAGGTTTGGTAATGTTGAGAGAGCACCAGCAGACCAGCAGACAGCGAAACATGAAATCCAGTTGTTGAAAACATTTTCAAACAGTATTAACCCTGCGAATGAGTGACTTTTTCCCAAATAAACTTAAAACAGTAACATATTGGAGTTGATGCTATCAGGCAGAATATTTGATTGAAAGTAGTAAACTGAAAGTACAGTTTTATTATGGAAAACCTCAATAGGAATTAAATGCTTCACTATGATGGCTTTTAGTATAGTGCCCAACTGAGCAACCTGTTATCGAAATAAGAGCGCCCTAGTAGCTGAATGGTTAAAGCACTTACCATACACTGTTTGTTTGGATGTCTTACCCCTCTCGCTCCCCTTGTTTCCCATCTACCTCCACTCACCAGAGAACAAAAATGCCAACATAACGATGTGAATAGATTTATTTTTGTTGTTGCGCTGTAAAAAACACAATTAAAGTAAATATGGCGAAATGATTCAGTATAATATTCCAGGTTATATTAATAGGTAGGAATAGACACAGTAGACAAATCAATTTGTTTTATTTAACTTCTGGAATGTCTTTAAAGGTTGTTATTAGTGGTATTATATATTTGTATCCTGTGTACTTCTGTTATACTTCTGTTATACTTATTGTTATAGTTATTATTTATTTATTCTGTGTTAAAGCTGTTTAGAAGAAAAAAGAAAAGTTCAATTCCTACTTGAGTAGACAGTTAAAGCTGCAGTTATCAATATTTTTACAGTAACAATGGATCAAATGCCGTCTGTGGTACTGATAAACCAACACAGAATTATTGCCAACTCTGCCCATCCCTTTATCGTAGCTCTACAAATCATTGTAGTGTGTATTGTTTTGGTTTTTTGGCTCCAACTCTAAAGCAGCAAACAAGCTCTGCTCAACTTGAGGAGGTAATAATATATCATCGTTGTGTTCACAGCGTGTCCCTCTGCCAAAAGCAGTTGGCAAAATATCAACTAATACTTCTTTAAATTGAATAGTAAATGTTGCACTGCCTACTAGCCTCGCTGAAAGGCTCACAGACATACTGTAGCGGCCACTTTTCTCTCGCAAAGAACTCATAATGGGCCACTGTATGTATGTGTTGTCTGCTTGCGGTCAGTAATTTGCAGATGGGACGTGATGTCACATAAAACTCCCAAGGTTCCTCACTGTCCTCTTCATATTGTACAGTGGATGGAGGGCTCCCCACTGCGTCATTTACTGTCATTAATGGTGATGGAGACAATTGCTCATTTATCAGGAGAAGTGGTGCAGTGTGCGTCTACAATGGCCT